CTAAACTGGCACTATATTCAGAGATAAAATGGAGAAAATGCTATTTTTACAATATTGAGATTTACCCCAGTAATAAGCAGGCAGCATGCACGTACACCCACAGTCTTCTAACATAAATGTAGCTGGTCCGCCTTGGTCCCACAATTTCCTTATCTGTAACATCCATCCTTAAATCGAGTGGTCGTCGAGCTACAGGGACAGTGCTGATCACTTGCCCCAACACCATGTGTGATTCTAGTTATGTTTTCAAGACTACTTAAAAGGATCATTTCAAAAGTAAACAGAATTATTATACCTTTACATGACACAATCATAAGAGTACGGTTTCATACAAAAGGCAAAGAAATGGGCTACACTTTCTGCAGACTACTCTGAATTTAGGAATCCCTTTAGAATAAGAGCCATAGTTGATCTCAAAGAAATAGAAAACACTGAGAAAGAGCCAAGTCCTTTTCGGCACTCATGTTCACAAGGTAAAGCTGGTTTGTTATCGCACTGTGTGGGGCCAGGCAAGCTTCACAGAACCTATGCATCCCTTTCCCAGGTCCTCCATCTTATTTACTAAGAACCCAAACCCAATAGCCACCCCAAATGGAATAAGCCTGAAGCCCAAGTCTAAATGACCCCAGGGCCTAAGTCTAAATGACCCCAGGGCCTGGCTGCAGTGGGATCCCCCTGTGGAGTTCCAGAGTCCTCTCTCAAGGACAGAAGTGCCATTGGAGCATTTCTACTTGCATGAAAGCTGCAAGGGGTCTACGGTCCACCAGACTAAGAAACACCACTTTAAACTATTCAACAAAGACAGAAATGTACTCAGCATCCCTACATACAGGGTGGAGAAGGGGTGGGAGCATTAAAAGAACTTCAACCCCATCCTCTGTGTGTGCAGACCTGGGTGCCTACATTACACCAAAACTTCACAGAAAAACACAGTGAAATCGGCTTCACAGGGTTCAGACTGATGATGCAGTTAAGAAATGTGGCATGTCTTCTTCTATTTTCCCCCTTGAAAACTTCCCTCTAGCCCATTCCATCTCCCAAAGGGAGATGACAAAACTGACCTTCACATTGTAAATGCCAATACTTTAAAGAACTGAACCACAATCCCTTTCCACTCTGTGAAGCAGGAGGACACAAACATTAGAAAAGTTCCAAGGGAGATTAATGATTTGGTGACTAATTAAATGTTGATGAAGAACTGTTGCTCCCTGACTGAAGAGAACTGTTAAGCATCCTCTGAAGGTCGTACCAAAAGCAAAGGCGAGACGCTGAGGGAGAATTTCAGCACAGCAACAGACATGCAAACTCAATCACAGTTCAGGGTGTCAAACACTCCAAGAAAATGGTCTCACTTTCTAACAACAGCAACACACGGTACTGAAGTAAAGTCTAGAATGACTCACATCCCCATGACTGACTCACATGCCCATTATCCCTGGGAAGAGCACCTGAAAAGTAGAGCACACAAAGCCAGACAGTAAGCTACATATTTAGCAATTAGTGCTGGTAAAACATGCACTAAGTAGACCTTGATCACACTCAAGTGCTCCACAGCAGCAGGCTCATGATACCAAATAACTGCACACACAACTATCTTCCACACTCCAATTTGGGCTCAGCCAAAAAAAAAAAAACTCTTAAAATCGTTTGGCAAGAGATGTCAAATGCTTTCCGTATCGACAGGAGAGACAACGCATGCAGAAAGGCATCCCCACTATCAGGGGAAAGTAAATTTTCTTAAATAGGCACTATGCGCTTGGAAAGCGAGACTCATGTAATTCACATTTTAAAACAGGCAAGGAGAGGCAGCTAAGGAGACAAGTACTCACAGTTCAGTGGAACTGGTTTTGACAATGTACGACTTCACTGACATCTTTTCTTAGAAATGTGGCCCAAATCAAATGATGCAATTCCTAGACCTTAACCTTTATGCCCTGGGACATGAGACAGTAGAAGCTTGGTCACAAATATGATTAGAGGGAACAACTAACACCCCAAAAGATGTGCAGTGAATGCATGCACTGAGTACACGCGCGTTTACGCATGGTGGTGAATGACCACTGGCGAGGAGGTGTAAACAAAGAGAGAATGAAAACCTTTCTCCAACTCTTACATGCATGATTTCAGGGCAAGCAGCAAGCCGAGCAGGCCTTGTTCTTGAAGCATTTCAAGCAAAGTCAGCCCACTAGAAAAATAAAAAGCAAAAATCCTTCCTCCGTAAATACTGCTTTTGAAATACAGCAATAGAGATGTAACAGCTCAGCCAAAGCCTGTCTTTTAATATTCTAACTCTACGAGATATTTAAGGATATACTCCAATCTTAAAATTAGACATACTGAAAACACATGCATCTTGAATATTTTTTTTTCCACTGCAGATCTTGAAAGTTAAATGAAGGGGGGAATTTAAAACACAGTACCTCACTTAAACAAGTATAAAAGCTAAATTCACACTTCAAATGCACTTCTCAGTTTGTACCAAAATCTAGACTTCTACTTTGTACAAACACAATTAAGTTCAGTTAAACTGGAAAGGACAGGTAATTCTGCCTAAAAAGACTGTGAAACTCAACTCCAACTTCATGGCATTCCAAAAGCTTACTACTAACTAATGTAAAGGGTTACATTAGAAATAATCCTCTTGAGCTGGGCATGGTGACACATGCCTTTAATTAGGAGGCAGAAGCAGGTGTCTCTGTGACATGAGAGACCAGTCTGGTCTACATAGCAAGCTCCAGGCCAGCTGGGGCTACAAGAAAAACCTGTCTCAAAAAAATAAAAAAGAAAGAATTCTCTCAAGAATTTTAACCTGACACCCACATTATCACTGCCCATACTCAAGTATAAGACGGGGAGACAGGTGATCTCAGCTTGTTCATGCAAACGTCTAGTTATTAAATACATGCTGTGAAATCCTGCTAGTGTCTCAAAATCTCCCTTGCCCCTACTTCCTGACCCTCTCCCCTCACTGTTCATGTCAGCCTCCAAGAGACTTTAAAAGGATCTCCCCAGTACCAAACACTTTGATTCCACATGATTTGGGGAAGGGGTGGAAAATCTAGGATTTTACATTTAAAACATATTTCAAAATTTTTGAGCTCAGCTATACTGCTACTAAAAGATAATTAGCATTTTAAAATCTATATTCTCCTGTTTGTATAAATTTATCGGCAGGATGCAAAGAATCTGCAGACAAATGCGACTAGAGAAATGACCACTCAATTTAACCTAGGAACACTAGTCAACAGCCTTGGAAGAGCAGGAAATCAAGACCCAGTCTCAGTTCCCCTCTCCTGAATCTGCAGGTCAATTCTGTAGGACATGTGAATCAAGCCCATGCTTTCTGGAATGTTCTGAGGATGCAGAATGGAGATCAACAGAGAAAAGTCAAACTTTCTTATAGCTAAGCCAAGTACAGCTTTATCTCAATACTGGGGCCTAAAATGTATTTGGCATAGCAGACAGTCTAGGCCAGTGTCATCAGAGGCAATGTGCCTCAGTGGTTCACGCATGGGTAATGTTTTCTCTCGCAAATGCTATCACCAACAGTCACTGGTTCCAGAAAACCACGAGGCTGATTTAAGTCAGAGGGCACAGACCAACTAAGTTTCCAACTGTTTCTAGTTGTAGCCAGTGGGCTAAGCAATGAGGTGGACAAACTGGTGAGGCAGACAGTGAGGTCAACAGTGAAGGCAGTCAGTGAGGCAGTGAGACAGTCAGTGAGACGGTCAGTGAGGCAGTGAGACGGGGAGTGAGACGGCCAGTGAGACGATCAGTGAGACAGTCAGTGAGGCGGTCAGTGAGGCAGACAATAAGACAGACAGTGAGGTAAGTCAGGGAGACAGTCACTGAGACAGTCAGTGAGAGTCAATGAGGCAGTGAGGCAGTCAGTGAGTGAGACAGTGAGGTAGAGAGGCAGACAATGAAGGTAACCAGAGAGGTAGACAGAGAGGGTAGTGAGATAGTGATGTAAACAGTGAGGTCATCAGTGAGGTGGACAGTGAGGAAGTTATCAAGATACACTGTTATGTAGGTATTGGGGCTACTCAGTAAGGTAGTGGGGAAACCAAGTCAGCAAGGCAGTCAGTGAGGTAGTCATGTAGTCAGTCAGTGAGGCAGGCAGGCAGCCAGGAAGGTAGACAGTGAGGTAATCAGTCAGTGAGACAGGGAGGTAGTAGGTGAGGCAGTAGTCAGGTTAGGAAGGTAGACAGTGAGAGGTAACCAGTCAGTGAGTGAGGTAGACAGGGCTCCCTGCAGCAAGAGCATCTGCAAGTGGTTTCTGAGAGACCCATCCGACCCAGCCTTACAGAAGGGGAAAGGGCCTTCAAGCCGGCCGGGTATGGAGTGTAAACAGAAAGCACACACAGGCCTGGCCACTGACAACAGAACTGGGACCCAGGCGGCTAGGTGATTTTCCAGGGCTGAGAGTTAACGCCAACCGCTTGCTGCCACCGGATGCCATCCAATTTTTTTCCTGTCACTAAGAAAAGGGTCAGCCTACCTACTCCGGCAAAAAAAGAAAAAAGAAGAAAAAAAAGTCCTTTTTCCTTCCAAGAGGGCAGCGGGGCTAGGGATGCGGGAGGGGGAGGGGCGTGGAAGGAAGGAGTGCTTTAAGGAGAGAGAGGCAGCCAGGGTTTTTCCACAGGGCCCCACACCGGCCACTGCAGAGGGAGGACGAGGGGTTGCGGGAGAGACCAGACGTCTCACCGGGAAGGGGGTAGGGCAAGGCCCAGGGCAACCCGCCGGGGCAGGGAAGGTCCCCTGCAGGACGCGACTCGGGTTTAGGACCAGACCCGGGTGTACAGCAGCGCCCGCGACCTCGGGATGCAGGGCAAGCAGACCCAGGTCTGCAGAACACAGGGAGGGCCGGGCAGGGTCCCCCCACGAGCAGCCCGGGGACGCACACCCCGGACGCGGGATCCGAGCCCCCAGCCCCGGCCACAAGGCGTGGCGCCTGCCCGCCCGCAACCCCCGCCCGCCGCTCCCCGCAGTGTTCTTACCTCCACACCTGCCCCATCTGCAGCAGGTGGATGACAGACTGCCAGATCCACACCGACAGGCGGCACAGGCGCTGCGCCCCCGGGGTGGCCGAGACCCCAGCGCCCGCGCGCGCAGCGCCGTGGCCGTAGCCCGCCCCCATCATCGGGGGCCCGCGGCTGCTCAGCCCCTCCACGGCGCCCAGCCCGCCGCCAGTGTAGTCCTGCACGAACCAGCGGAAGCTCAGGCTCTGCACCAGCAGCGACGGCACCAGCACGAAGAACAGCGTCAGCCCAAAGCAGCCGTAGTCCCCCTTGCGGTAGTAGTCGAGGGCCAGCCACAGGTCGGTGCCCACGTCCCCGAAGAACACCAGCAACGCCAGCACGATCCACAGGCAGTCGAGCCACGGCCGCTCCACCTGCGGCGCGGGCTG